GCCTATCTAGCTTGATACTTGTTATACACTTTGTGCTTTTGCAATTTATCTGTGCCTGTTGGATTCTAATCCAGGTTGCTCTGCCACTCTCACTATTACTATTGATTCTTTTTCTTAGCTCTGTTATGTGATGCGCTATCTGGTTTTGCCAAATTGTTCTAAAGCCCGCTATGTTTCTGTGGGCTAGGATCGCACTTGCCATTGTACTTGCTAGATCCGATTTATTTTTAATGAGCTTCAGCAGAGGACTCTGCAGTCTGTCGCATTGATTTCTTGATATTATATAATGCTGCATTCTAACCTTGGAATTAGTACCCTGTTGTTGATATAGATTAGCTATACAAGTGTTGTATTCTTTTTATATATTGTCTTGATGATTGTTTGGATTTCTCTTTTTACTATGTCTATTATATGTAAGTAATTGTTCTTTCTAGACAACCATATGCCCAGGAATTTTGTTGCTTCATTTGCTTTCTTTTTGACTATTTTTTCCCCTATAAGCCCTATTTCTATGCACCTTGGCTCGTTTGTTTTTTTGCTACCTATTATTAATAGTTTTGATTTTTTACTATTGATTTTTATATCATTTATCTTGTAAAATTCTTGTGTGATACTGATAATCTCCTCCAACTTTTTTTTGCTTAATGCGATGAATGTGGTGTCATCTGCATAGACTATAACTGGAATATTTAGCTGTTGGAGGCAGGTGCTATTTCTACTAAGATCTTTGGGCCAATGAACTTTTAGATTGTATTCTTATTTACTACAACTTTGTATCTCTACTAGTAGGGGGTTATAAAAGATCCTCCAGACTAAGAGCGAAATTACCTCCCCTTGGTCTATATCATCCCCTGCTATAAATCTCTCTGTTGTACTCACACTTGTCAGTATCTTCATTTCACGATTGTCATACAGATTGATAATGAATCGTGTTAATATGTCTGATATTTTAATTCTTCATAGCGCTAGCTTTAGCATCTTCAGCTCTACAGAGTCGAATACTTTTTTTATATCTTGGAACATAAGCCAAAGCTCTTTTTTTTTCTCTTTTGCTTCTTCTACAAGACAGTTAATTAGATATACTGGTGCTGCTGTACCTTCTTCAAGAAGGCCTGCGAAGTTTCTTCCTTTAAGCACTTTTCTTTCTTTTATAATTTTTGCTAGTCTATTATTACCACCCTTACAACCATTTTTCTGAAAGATTCCAAGAGTAATATTGGCTGTATATTGTTCAGGTTGAAACACCAGTCTTCTGTTTTAGGTATTGGATACAACATGCCTAGCTTTTACTTTTTTGGCATTTTGCCTTCTTTAATACATTTAGAGGCGAAGCTTATAAAAATCTGTTTTGTATCTAAGCTTACATTTTTGATTAGTGGGTATGTGATGCCTGTTGTATCTGGGGCTAACTTGGCCTTGACCTGTTCTAGAGCCTGTTCTTATTTGGTTAGGCTGATTGTGTTCATAGTATCTTTGTACCAGGTTTTCTCAATATCTTCTCTTAGGGCATATTGATTTCTCCACCTAGTTGATATTTTCTCTACCTGTGTTGTATTTCTTTTATAGAACTGCTTCTCAAAATGTTCACGAGTCTCTTTGAGTAACTCTTCTGGCTCGTATACTAGTTCCACTTCACCCTCTATCTCTTTGACTATTCTGTTTATTTTGATTCGTCTGTGAGAGCAACTTAGAAAGCTATTTAGCATTTTTTGCTAGTTGGATACTATGAAGCTATATCTATCTTCTATACTTCTTCTTATTTTAGCTTCTTCTGCTTTTTTTATTTTTTGTTGCCACTCTTTGTGCAGGATTTTTGCCCAGTTTTTTAAGTTCTCACTATCTCATATCTTGATTTCTGACTTTAAGACCATGTTGTAGTCTTCTTTGAGCTGTGTGAGCTTATTAATAATATCCACCTTGTCTTCCTTATATAGTGCCTCTTTTTTTAATTTGTAGTACCTTTTGTTACATGCTTTGACTGCTAATCTAATTGCTTTTAGCTTTCTAATTTCTCTACTAATTTGCTATATCTTGGGCGTTTTGCTTTTTCTTGAAAGATTTTCGTTAGCTGCTAATTGAATACACTCTTCTATGATGTCCCACTTATCATTTATGCTTTTTGGTTTGTACTTGTGCCAATGCTCTTTAAGTTTTTTCTTCAGTTCTTCTTTGTATAAACTCCAGTCTTCTTTTGATGCCTTGTCCAAGTCTAAATTTACTTTTTTACGGTTTTTTCGTTTTAACTTTGCTGGGGTAGTTTTTCTTAGCTCTAACTCTGTAATAATGTTTGTTTGTATGAGCTTGTGGTCACTCATTGTATATAGGTTCATATTATCTACTTTAGAGCTAATTATATTTTGTTTTCAAATACTGAAGACCCAAATATAGTCGATTTTTGATTCGCTAATACTGTTCGACCATGTAGGTATTTGTGAGGCTTCTTGTATGTTATATAGATTCTTTTCTTCTAGTAAGGCCAGAATTTTCTGTTTTGATTTACTTTTGGAGTTTGTATCATTAGGAGAGATGTTTTCTTCTGAACTGCCTATGCTAATATTTAAATCTCCTAAAATTATAAACCACTAAGGTTTTCAGCTTGGTTTCTCCAAAGTTTTCCTTAACCTGTTTAGAATCTCTTTTTGTATTGTTTTGTCGCTTGGAGCAACATATACAAACACTATCACTATAGAAAGGTTTTTAAAGTCGAGAGACAGCTTTAAAAAATACGGACTATCTCGATTAAGCTATGTGATATGTTGTTTCTAATATTTCTTGATCAGCACCCCGAGGCCTGACCCTTCTTCTTATTTTTCTCAGCACTTGCCTAGAAATTTTTATATACCTTACTGTTCTTAGTTGCAAAGGTGCCTTCTATGTTACTAATATTATTTTTTTCTAAACCCAAGATGTCTATTTTTTTCTCTTCTGCATAGTCTATAACTGCTCTTAATTTGTTTTTATTGTTCTTAATACCATTAATATTATGAAATCCAATGTTTAAAGTTTTAAAATACTCGTATATGCTTTCCTGCTCATTTAATCCTTTTAGGAGCTTCTTTTTTTCTAGATATTCTCTGCTAGCTCCCTTTCTTTACCCTTGTATACCCCAGAGTTAGTTATTAGTTTGCCCTTAGCACCTTTTTAGAAATGGTCTGCTAGGGAGTTCCTAGCAGAAGGGGTACCAGGAAGCACTTTCTGATTTTCAAGTTTGTCAAGTCTGTTCAAAATTTGTGACAACATGTTGTAAATTGAGTTGCTATCTGCCTGGTTTCTATTTTCTACATGTTTCATACTATTCTGGTCTTTGACTGCTTGGTTCTCTTTGTCATAACTATTTTTCTCAGGCCGGTTCTCATATTCTGCTAGATTCAATCTGTTGTTGCTACTTTTCTCTTTAAGCACTCTATTCCACTTAGGTTTTCTATCTTCTGAGTTTTTTATATCGAGATTTTCTCTTTTTCTTTTGGTTTTCAAGTTACAAGCACCTTTCAATTCTTCTTTTTGCTTTCCCTCTTTGTGGCTAGTAGTTTTTTCGACTGAGTTTTTTTTGTATAACTGACTGCCTATATGGCTTTTATTCTCACCCTCCTTTGTGGGTATTCGCCACTCTAGCCTAGTATCAAAGTAATATAGGCTTGCTTCTTGGGCCTGAACCATATCTTTTTTTGATTTAAAGTAGATGTGTGCCCTTCTGTTATGGTTGACATGCCGGTTATCTAGAGTGTGGACTGCCTATACTTTGTATTTTTTCAACTGTCACAATAGTAAACTTATGCTGTTCTCAGGACGTTGAAAATTATACTTCTGAACCTGTTTCTTTCTGCCAGTTTTGCATGATTGAATTTACCAGGTGTTATTCTGTACGTCTTTCTCTGGTCCAACTGAATTGACCAGCCCTCTCTTAATGTATTTTCTTGGCTTTCTATTTGATATTATTTTAATATATGCTGCTTTTGTATAAAAGCCATGCTGCCAGGCTAATATTGTTGCTGAGCCAAAGAATTCTTGATCTCATTTCCGCTTATATATTTTGGGAGGTCCCAGAGTGTAAAAAAGTAATTAGACTTGATAGAGTTCTTCTTAAGTACAAGTTTCCCTTTCAGTATCTAGGCTGAGCTATAAATATCCTTATGTCTTTTAGGCCTTTTGTTATACTTTTTATCTTTGGAGTTTTTGTTGTTATATGCCTCTTTTGCAATTTGCTCATAATCTGTAGTACCACATTCGCTTTGCACAAGATCTTCTATTTTAATTTCATGGCTATTCTCTGCTATATTATTGCTATTCTCATGTTCTGCGAAGCTTCTTTTGCATGTACTGTTGTAGTTTTCCTCTGATATGCTGTTTTTAGCGCTAGTCTCTAATGTGGTTGGGTTTGTATAGCTGACTTCCATTAGAAATGCTATAGAGTCTCTATTGGTATCCCTTTTTTGGGAGTTATCTTCAGCAGTGTTGTATCCGAGAAGGCATTTTTCTTTACTGGATATTTTTTGTTCTCTTATCTCCTTATGCCAAACCTAGTTATGCATATATAGTACATTGCGAATAATTGCAACTAGATAGGGATTTTCTGCACTTAAGTATTCTGGAACTTGTTTGTCTTCTTTTAATAATGTTGCATGTTGCTCTTTATACAGTGCTAGTTTTTCCTTTTTAAATTTTTTAAAAAAATTTTTGTATTTCTCAAGCTCCGGTATCTTCTTTGCTTGTAAATCACATGATATATATCATAATTGGTTGTTTGTCACGTTTTAGTACTTAAAATTTAATGTTCGGCTTTGGTGCAAATTGTACATGTTTTTACATGTTTTTCACATGTTATTATGTGTAAAATCGATATTTTTGCTTGTGTGTTGCAGTATAACTTTGTGTGTGTGTGTTGTACTTGTGCTACTCCAAGGATCTGCACTACAGGGTTAACGCTGTTTTCTCAAAGCTATTAACGTGAAATAAAAGGTTTTTCTTCGTGTCAAAGTAGTAGTATATGTTGCACTTTATACTTTGTTGTTGCTATATTATAGTATTTTGCCGAACTATCTAACTCTCTGTGATTATATGTTGTTGCTTGTAATAGACCAAATAATGTTTTGCCCGAGTTTTGACACCAAATAGCCAACTTTTTACTGCCAATTACACTTTTCTGTTTTTTGGTTTTACTGTTATTATACTTGTTGCTAGCTAGACTATTTTTTACAAGCTCTTTCTATGTAAGATAGCATTCAATATAGTTTTTATTACTGTGTTTTGGCATAGTATTGACTTTTATTCCTCTGCTGCTTTTGTATCAAGTGATCATTGGGGAGAGTGCTGTGCTTTATATTGGCAAATAGCAATTTTATTTTTATATTTATTCTTAATATATTAATTATTGTAAAAATAATTATTGAAAAGATAGCTACTTCTGCAAGGCAATTTTATCTTTATATTTATATATTGATTTATTTGTAATACTAATTGTATTTGTATAACTTTTTTATATACTTATCCCTTAATATGTAGACCAACGCAGGCAAATTTGCCTGCATTTTTGCACTTTTTTAGCTCTGATTTACTTTTTT